GTTTTCACCATAGAACCCCTTGTGATCTTCTTTCCCTTTCCTCTCCCTTCTTTGAATTTCTCTACTTTAAATGGCACTATTTTTGTTACTTCTGTTTCTTCTTTTTGTCCTCCATTTTCCATTTCCCATCTTTTTTCTCTTTTGATCCTGATAAAATAAAATGTGAGCCAAGTGTGGTGGCACATGCTTGTAATCCTACCGGCTCCAGAGGCTGAGGCAAGTTCAAAGCCAGCCTCAGCAAAGGTGGGGCACTAAGCAACTCAGTGAGACCCTGTCTCTAAAAAAAATACAAACAGGGCTGGGAATGTGGCTCAGTGGTCAAGTGCCCCCAAGTTCAATCCCTGGTACATAAAAGCAAAACCAAAACCATAATATGAGCATTATTTGCCAGTGTTTAAAACAAAATATCAAGTTTTTTGTTCTTACTTTGAGAACATTCATTTTCCTCCTTAAAAAATTTGTTAAATTAAAAACAAGGTATGACATTCCCCTTTGTCCATGGTTTTATTTTGCAAGGTTTTAGTTGCCTGTGGTCAACCATAGTCCAAATATACTAAATGGAAAATTCTAGAAATAAACAGTTCATAAGTTTTAAATTCTGTCTGAATAATGTGATAAAATTTAACACCATCTCACTCCATCCCAGGTGAGACACGAATCATCCTTTTGGCCAGCATATTCACAGTGTGTGTGCTCCTACCTGCCTGTAGTCACTTAGTAACCATCCTAGGTCCCAGATTGACTGTTGCAGTAGCACAGTGCTGGTGTTTGAGTAACTCCTATTTAACTTAATAATGGTCCCAAAGCACAAGAGTAGTAATGCTGGCAATTTTGTTATGGCATATTGTTATAAACTATTATATTTTATTATCAGTTATTGTTTATCTCTTACTGTGCCTAATTTATGAATTAAACTTTACCATAGGTGTGTACACATAGGAAAAAACATAGCTTTTATACAGTCATTTTTCAGGATCACCTCACAGATGTCCCAAACATGACTATATGTACTATGAAATGGTGTAATTATTTGCATATAATTTGTGCACAGTCTCCTGTATACTTGAAATTGTTTCTAGGTTACTTATACTATGTAATACACTGAAAATGCTATATGAATAGTTCTTATACTGTATTTTTAGGGACTAATGACAAGAAAAATAGAATGCACATGTTAATTACATCATCATTGGTCTAGCTAGAGTAAATTAACAAGACTTGACATGAACAATGCTCACATAGGAGCTGGGGAAAGACTGAATATCTGTGAAATGGTCGGAGGCCATAGCAGGGTATGTGTATATACTACTTAATTTATGTGGATTTAATGTAGTGGTTGGTGTTTAGCAAATTGAAGTTTTACTCTTTGGAAATTTCTGGAACCTCTTTTGAATATACCCTATGAATAAGGAGAGCCAACTGTATAGTGTTCTGTGCTATCAGAGATTTTAGGCACCCAGTAGGCATCTGGTAATGTATCCCCCAGGGATAAGGAGAAACTGTTGTATTTGACAGTTTTAATAATAAGAAAAGATGAACAGTAAGCACATGAAATATTTGTGTATACTACTTAAAGTGTTAGTTAGTTTTGTGTGTGTTTGAGTGCATTGAAAATAAAATTTCTTGGCTGGGGATATGGCTCAAGCGGTAGTGTACTCGCCTGGCATGTGCCCAGCGCGGGGTTCCATCCTCAGCACCACATACAAATAAAGATGTTGTGTCTGCCAAAAACTAAAAAAAATAAATATTAAATTTTCTCTCTCTCTCTCTCTCTCTCCCTCTGTCTCTCTCTCTCTCAAAAAAAAAAAAAAAAAAGAAAAGAAAATTTCTGGGCTGGGGTCGTGGCTCATTTTCCTAGCATGTGTAAGGCATTGGGTTTGATTCTCAGCACTGTATATGAATAATTAAATAAAATAAAGGTTCATCAACAACTAATAAAAAAAATTTTTAAAAAGAAAATAAAATATCTCTTGGGTTAGGAAAATTCTGAAATGAGTTCATTTAATTTGTTGTTGTTGTTTTGGTACTGGGAATTTAACCCAGAGGCATTTAACCACTAAGCCTGTCTCTAAATAAAATACAAAATGTGGATGTGGCTCAGTGGTTGACTGCCCCTGAATTCAATCCCTGGTACCAAAAAAAAAGACAGGGTCTTGCTAAGTTGCTGAAGCTGGCTTTGAACTCGAGATTCTCCTGCCTCAGCCTGTCAAGCTGCTAGGATTATAGGTGTGCACCACAGCACCTGACAAGTTGAGTTTTTTCTTTTTTATTGAAGTAAAATTCATATAACAGAACTCACAATAGTAAAATGAGCCATTCAGTACATTCACAATGTTGTGCAACTATCACCTTTACTTAGTTCCAAAACATTTTCATCTCCTTACAAGGAAAATCTTGTACCTAATAACCAGTTCCTTCCTTTTTCTTTTTCCACCATTGCTAGCAATTGCTAATCTGCTTTTTGTCTCCACAGATTTGCCTTTTCTGAATATTTCATATAAATATTTCATAACATGTGATCTTTTGAATATCATTTGTGTGGATAATACCACATTTTGTTTATTCATTTGTCAACATATGAACATTTGTGTAAAAGTTTTTGTTTGAATACCTGTTTTGAGTTCTTTTGGGTATATGCCTGAGAGTAGAATTTTTAGGTATAATGGAAATTCTGTATAACATTTTTCCCCCAAAACTGTTTTCTAATGTATGTATATCATTTCATATCTCCACCAGCAATGTATGATAGTTCCAGTTTCTCTTCATCCTTGACAAACTTTTTTATTTTCCTTTTTTAATTGTAGCCAGGCTAGTATCTCGCTATAGTAAGGTAAATTTTTATATGTAGCTTTTCTGCATATAACTTACTATATATGTTAAAATTATTTTAAGTTTTATTAATTTATGTTAAATTTTTAAAATAAATATTCAACAAATTGAAATATTTCAGTTCTTTGAGTCTTTTTAGAAATATTTTTGTGACATTTAAATATGTAACTGTACTTAATTTGACTGAGATAAATTCATTTAGAACAGAAATACCCATCAGAGGAGTTCTCTGCCATAGAGGTTTCTTACTTTGCCATAGAAACTTATAGTTTAAATATGGCATATAATTATAATGTCCAAATCAAGAAAGTTTTAAAATATAGTATGCTTTATTTTTATTGAATATGAAGGATGATTAGCTGGGTGTGGTGGTGCACATCTCTAATCCTAGCAGCTCTGGAGGCTGAGGCAGGAGGATCATGAGTTCAAAGCCGGCCTCGACAATGGCAAGGTACTAAGCAAATCAGTGAGACTCAGTCTCTAAATAAAATAAATAATAGGGATGGGGATGTGGCTCAGTGGTTGAGTGCTCCTGAGTTCAATCTCCAGGACCCCTTCACCAAAAAAAAAAAAAAAAAAAAAAAAAAGATTAAATAAGGAAATTAGTAGTCATTAAGCCCAGCCTCTAGTGAGTATCACCAAACACTGTATGAATGCCTCTGGTAAAATAATTAACAGCTATTTCATAGGTAACTCATTTAATTTTAGACAGCCCTATTTGTAAGTCATAAGTTCTGTATTCTGTGCCATAGACTTGTCTTGAATGTTCATTAATCGAATCTCATTATTCTCCCTAGCTATTCAAAACAAAATACTTCCATTTTTCCACAAGAGACAGCTGAATTCTCCCAAGTTTTTTTTTCCCTCTCTCTCTTTTCTTTATATTGGACACTTTCAGTTCTTTGTACCTACACAATTCAGAGTCATTTATCTTTATGTTCTACTTGCTTTATTTTGGACACACTGCTTTAGTTTGTGGACATCTATCCTAAAGAGATTTGTTCTAGATATGATCTGACCCACAGAATTAAAATAACACATAACATGTTTACATTGTAATTATAACCCTTGATATAGAAATATGTGTCCGCATTCTGCAAGTGAGTAAACTTATGTTCGGACAGATGAAAAAAATTTCTCAAGTTTATGCAATAAGTGAAAGAAATGAGTTTAAGGGGACTGGGGTTGTGGCTCAGTGGGAGAGCTCTCGCCTAGCATGTGTGAGGCACTGGGTTTGAGCTTCAGCACCCCATAAATAAATCAATAAAGGTATTGTGTCCATGTACAACTAAAAAAAAATACTAAAAAAAAAGAAGTGAGTTTATGTCTAATTCATATTTAATTGCCTGCAAAGCCATATTCTTTTCATTAATATTAATGATGTCATATTGATTAATATACCTAACATTAATTGCATAGATAATATATGCTTGACACTGTAGACTCCCATCTAAGCCTCAATTGACATACAAGGTACATTTTTATAAATGAGAAAATGGAGGCACTAAAAGTCATAATTTTCAGAATCCCACAGAATGAGTTGTCTGATTCTAAAGGCTGTACTCTTAAATATTTTACTATCCCCCGAAAATATTATATTATCCTGTCTATGCTATTCCACAATGTAGATGTATCAATAATTAGGAGCATACCTAACAGATTTTACAGTGTTTTCAAGTCTAAGATAATCTGTATCAAGGCCAGTCTGGGCAATTTAGTAAGACCCTGGCTCAACATGAAAAATTTTTTAAAAGGGCTGGATATATATTCAAGGTGTGTGTGAGATTCTGAGTTCAATAATACTGGGGGGAAAGATAATCTTCATGATTAATGTATTATTTTTCTCTCATTTCCTTTCATGCAAAAACATAACTGGTTTGCTTATCTATTGATACAGCCTTTCTAAAGAGCAGTCTGTCAATATTTAATAAAGTACTTTTATTTAAAAAGAATGACAAAAGGGCACAATGGTGCATACGTAGCTACTGTGGAGTGTGAAGCATGGGGATCAAAAGTTTGAGGACAGCCTCGACAACTCAGAGAGCCTGTCTTCAAAATGATAAATACAAAAGACTGAGGATGTAGCTCAGTGGTAGAGTGCCCTTGGGTTCAATCCCCAGTATCTCCAGAAACAAAAAGAATGACAGTGTTTTAAAATTTGTTTCTTTTAGGTCCACCTCATTCATTTAACCGAGATGAGACAATAATCATTGCTTTGGCATCTGTCTCTGTCTTAGCTGTTTTGATAGTTGCCTTATGCTTCGGATACAGAATGTTGACAGGTAAACAAAATACCACTTTTTGTCCTATCATTTGTCAAGCATGCTATTAAATCAGAATTTATTTTCTTTTATTTAAATCTCTATGCTTAATGTTAAAAAAAAACAAAACTCTGTGCTACTGAAACTCCCATTCTGTCTTCAACAAAAAATTTCCCCAGTTTTTGGAAAAAGTTTCAAATTCAAACAAAATACCTGTCACCCAATTTCAACAGTTATCATATATGAGCAATATTGTTTCATGTAAATCCCCGCTCACTACCCACTTCCATGCCACTGAATTATTTTGAAGCAAATTAAGGATACCATTAATATACTTTAGGCTTAATGGGTTGTTTAGGAAATCATCAATCACTCATTCATTTAAATAATGTTAATAAAATCTTGAAAGTTTCTACACTATTTCTTAGGGTTTTAAACTTTAAATTAAGTAAGTCATTATGGGAGCATCACTTAGAATTTAGCTTTCATGTTGTTTATTATTCATCTTCATTTATAGATGAATAATTCTATTCCTTCTGCAGCTTTTAAAAAACTGTAACACAGTAAAAAGTGTAATAAAGATATAATTTTAAGAAAACTATGTTAGTAACGCTTTTTCCTGTTCTTATAGGAGACCGTAAACAAGGTCTTCATAGTATGAACATGATGGAGGCAGCAGCGTCAGAGCCCTCTCTTGATCTAGATAATCTGAAACTGCTGGAGGTAAGGTTGTTCTTAGATTGTGGACTGTTATAATAATTACCAAGTTTTGTAATTATTGCTAAGTTTCATTTGGTAATATCTCAGAAACTACTTTAAAAGTCTTAATATTATGAGTGGTTTTATGATTTTTATTAGAGATGACCTGATAACTATGGTCCCCAAACTAAATAATAGATATGATAGATTTAACTATATAAAAACATTTTAATAATTTTCTTTTTGCATAAAAATATAGTTAAGAAAGTTAAAAAGTCAAATTTGAAAAATGTTTCAATACATAAGAAAATTGATAAACAGCTGTTATAAGTCAATTTGAAAGAAAAGATGCATAAAAATGTACAGAAGAGATGAATTGACAGTTTAGAAAAGTAAATGTGGCTAATAAGTAGGTAGTAAGATGTCCAGTTTACTAGACTGAAAGAAATACCAATTAAAACATGGAATATGCTGGGCACACTAGTGCACATCTATAATCACAATCGCTCTGGAGGCTGAAGCAGGAGGATCGTGAGTTCAAAGCTAGCCTTAGCAACTGGCGAGGCTCTAAGCAACTCAGTGAGACCCTGTCTCTAAATAAAATAAAAAATAGGGCTGGGGATGTGGCTCAGTGGTTGAGTGCCCCTGAGTTCCATCCCGCCCCCCGCAAAAAGAAGGAACATTATCTAGGATTGAGTGAAAGAAACTTTACCAAACATTGCTAATTTAATTATATTTTGATACAGCCTTTGTGAAGAACAGGCTGCATGTGAAGTTTTTACCTGGAAATAATGATATATAACACATGTTTTTAAATTAATAAAGATAAATTCTCAACCCATTTCAATAAAAAGTGAGAAAAATCCCCAGAAACCAAAAATGAAGAGAATAGGTTACATTTTGCTGGTTCTTTGTATATTGAGTAATTTTTTATTGCATCCCAAATATTGTGACTATTTTATTGAGAGACCTGCACTATATCTATCATGTTCTCCTAAAGTGTGCTGATTTTTACTTATTTTAGTAAGTAACACATACTATAAACTTGTCTCTTAGGCAGAAGCTCAAGTCTTGGTTCAGTTATTTTATCTTTAGCTAGAATCTGTCCCACGCATCCATCCTTTTCAGGATTCTATCTGCACTTTGCAGAAGCTATAGTTGCCCCAAATTACATTCTCTGGTTCTTAGGTCCAGAAAGATTATATATTTTCCCTTGTCATTTTAACTCTACTGCACAGAGCTGATTGAACCCTGCATCAAGCTAAAAAACAAAAATAGGGAGCTCATCCTATGCCATTTTTCTCTTTTAAATCTTGAGGTATTTTAGAGTCTACCTCCTTTTACTTATTCTCCAGTGCCTTTAGATATTTTGTTTGTTTGTGTGTTTGTTTTTATTTTGTCCAGAGTTTCCAGTTGTTCTGTGAGACAACTAGGTTGGGTAGGAACTTCCTCAGTCATACCAGATACAGACTTCAGTAGTTTCTTGATAATGGGGTAAACTATTAGCAATAGAGATGTGTAGCATACTACATGAATTTGTGCTTCATTATTTAAGTTTGCTTATTTAATTTTGATGTGAATTAATACTTTGCCTTTTTAAAAACAACTTCACAGCTGATTGGCCGGGGTCGATATGGAGCAGTATATAAAGGTTCCTTGGATGAACGTCCAGTAGCTGTAAAAGTATTTTCTTTTGCAAACCGTCAGAATTTTATCAACGAAAAAAACATTTACAGAGTGCCTTTGATGGAACATGACAACATTGCTCGCTTTATAGTTGGAGATGAGAGAGTCACTGCAGATGGACGCATGGAGTATTTGCTTGTGATGGAGTATTATCCCAATGTAAGTTCTTTAGAAGAAATAAACAATCATTGATACTAGCTGTCAGTCAGACTTTCAGGAAGACCACCATAATAAGCATTGCTAGTACGCAAATTCATTATTAATGGTCTGCAATGAGATAAAGATCCTGTGCCATAATTTGAATCAAATATATCACTAATTATACTGTTTATTCATTTCCCTCTCTCATTCTCTCATTCTCTCCCTCTCCCTTCTTTTCTATTCTTTTCTCTTTCTGTAGCCAGGTTTTCTCAGTGAAGGAAGCAGTGCTTTGATTGTCATTCATTCTGGTGTAAGCTCCTTATCTCATCAGAGACTGGTAGTGGTTTGTGGATAAGCACTTTGAGTAATACAGATAAGGAGAGTACCCCTCAGTATCCTGAGGATTGTTTTCAGAACCACTTCTACGCCCTGCAAACATACCCAAACTGGAGATGTTCAAGTCTCTTATATAAAATGATGAGTAGGATTTTTTTTTTAACATATAACCCATGAACATCATTTCTAGATTACTTACACAATAAATGCCATGGTAATAGTTGCTATTCATATTTTGTTTAGAGAATAATGACAAGAAAAAATAGTATGTACATGTTCAGTACAGATACAATTTTTTTTTGAATTTTTCTTTTTTATGGTGCTGGGGGTCTACTCAAAGCTTCGTGTATGTTAGGTACCACTGAGATGTACCCCACAGCCCCTGAATATTTTTTTATCTGGGTTGGTCAAAATTATGAATGAAAAACATGCAGATACAGAGGACACATTATATATATTTACAAAATTTTTCTGTTTTCTATTATAAACCATTTATAGTTTTGTATTAGTAACAGATATTTTTCAAATTAATTTGATAGATCAAAAAATTTAAAAGGAAATAATCATTCATAATTTTAAATATGAATGAGACATGAAAAATTGATGCTTAAATTCTTTTTTCTTCTTTCTTCACATAGAAATGCCTTACTATTTCTTTCAAATTTCTCTAAAATGGTTCATTAAATCTTCATGGAATCCTAGCCTATGCAAATCCTTAATAAGGTTGCTAACTTACCTCTTAATGGTAAAATAAATTTATTTCAATTTTTTAATACATTTTCTTCCTCTGTAAAGGGATCTCTTTGCAAGTATTTGAGTCTCCATACAAGTGACTGGGTAAGCTCTTGCCGTCTGGCCCATTCTGTGACTAGAGGACTGGCTTATCTTCACACAGAATTACCACGAGGAGGTAAGATAATGAATAAAAGATTAATAACACATGTGGGTTCAAAATTTTAATCCTATCTTCAAAGTATGATTTGTATTATTAGGCATTTATTATTAACCAATTGTTTGAATTATTCAGCATGAGGAAATATTTGAAATCAAAGTATAAGAAAAAAACTTAAAGACTATCTAGAGGAGTCATGGATTCCATTAAGAATTTAATTAAAGCTCTAGTAATAACCATGGGAGAATACTTACAAAAATATTCTTTTGGGCTGGTAATGTAGCTTAGTGGTAGAGTGTTTGCCTGGCATGATGCACAATGCCCTAGGTTTGATTTCCAGCACAGCAAAAAAAAAAAAAAAAAAAAAGAGTTGTGGACCTTGGGTTAAGAACTTCTTAGCTAGGCTATATTTTCCTTATTCTGTTTATTTAAATGAATTAAATGTGTAATTACTTCTTTTGTTCTATTATCACATAGGTCTTTATTCAGTAGGTTGATCTTTATTATACTTAATGTGTATTTTTATATATCCATGCTTCTACTAACTAGAATTAGATTTGGCTAAATCTGTGAGGATGGAAGGTGGGAATAACAGTAGTTTCAATAAAACGTTTTTTTTTTTTTCTCCTGATGTAAGAATCTAAAGGTCTGGGAATACAGCTTAGGGATAATGCTTGCTTAGCATGCATGAGGCCCTGGGTTCAATCCCCAGCCCACGCACACACACACACACAAAAAGCTACCAATCCATCCAGAATTGGATTGGTAACACCATGGTACTATCAGGGCCTGAGGCACTTATATTTCTTTGCACACCATCCTTAATAGGTAGCTTTCATTTTCAAAGTTATCTCATTGTTATGCTGTATCCTAGGTAGGGAAAAAAAGGTGGGGAGGGAAGAGGAGATAAATGGATTTGTTCTCTTCTATCTCCATAAGTTCCACTGTCATGTTCATGTTTTGTTTCTCAGAACTAGTCCACTCTTAGCTGCAAAAGAGGCTGGGAATATTGTTTTTATTTTTTAAGTTTTACTGAGTGCATTGCTGCCTCAGATAATTAGTTGGCTTCTAATACTAAGTAAGAAAGGGAGAGTACATGACAAGATGTCAGTCTTTGCCAGTGTTTCAGAACTGTATTGTATTTTTTGTCACAACTACAGTCTTCCTCAGCTTTTATGCACATTTTTGCTAGTTATTGAAAGCATCTCTTTTTAATACGTTTTCTTTTTCACTTTACTTCAATATACATCTCACATCACAGGAACCCCTAAATTAGCTTGGCTGTGATAATTCTGTCTCTGTACTTTCTTAAGCTTTCATCCCCTAGCACATTTTCTTATCAAACTGTAACCCTGACATTGTTTTTCAATCTCCTGACCTCTTTAATGAAGAGAACTTTAATGTATCAGTTTCTTAGATCTTTGTTCCACTGTATAATAGCACAGATCATCTTTTCTAGCTAATGCTTCATATATAAATAATTTCTCTTGAATAATTTATTAGTTCATTTATCTAGACATCTTGATATTCCTGAGTACAGAATTGACCTATGTTATTGTCTATGTCAGCAACTTGATGCACTTACTCTAGTGCTTTAGCACATTAACCATTGGGCTGTGTGTTCCCTTACTCAATTAAATATTGCAACCCCTTTTAAAAGCTGGCTTAGCACAGAACTTAAAATACCATCCTAATTCCCCTTTCAAGCTTTGTATGATTCAGCAAGGTTTCAAGTCAAACATTGGCTGAAATTAATAAGCAGAGCTGTTACTCTCAAACATTAGCTAATATTATCACTAGTTAACTTTTTAAAAACTTCATGTAATATAAACATAAAGCTATTTAAATTTATTGCTTAAAAGTGTTCCCAAGTATACAGTAATATTTTAAAACACTTAAAGTGTCCTTTCAGAGAATTTTATTCTTCCCAGTATCTTCAGATATAATTTTTTTGCTTAGAGTATAAATTCCTTAGTAAGAAATACTACTACTACTACTACTACTACTACTACTACTACTATTATTTCAATTATTTGTTGCTTCAGAATAATAAGGAGTTGAACCTGTTTATTTGTAATTAGTTTTCCCTGTGAATTTTTCCTTATGATAATAGCAATGTGTGCTTGTTGCCCAACCAAAATCTAATATACAAAAATATGTATAAATTATTCAGACTTCACCATAAAATTACTAAGCAGTTTGTGTTTATCCTTCTGGGTCCTTTGCTCTGTATATATATATGTGTGTGTCTAAATATCCACAGAAAATTTTTTTGGTTCAGGTTTAAAAATATATATGTATTTTGTAATATATTTTGTAACATGTTTTATAAATTATAAAATATATGAAAGTATAATTAATAGATATAAATATATATACACACAAATATATTTAAAGTAATATTATACTTTTCTTTGACATATTTGCCTAATGCATTATTATGCCCAAGGCAAAATCATTGTATATTCTGCCCCTGGCTTACACACTCAAAAAGGTTAAAAAGAATACTTAGGGGAACTTAGAAGGGGAAAGTCAACTCTGTAGTTCTACCCTTTGCTTTGGTGCTGAGTCCTCTCTTCTCTCTTTTCCTCTATCTTCCCTACCGCCTTTTTTCTCTTACTCCGTTTCCCTACCTTTTCTTTTTCCTTTTTAGTAATAGCAGGAAATAACTTGTCACATATTCTTCCTCATTAGCTTAGTTTTCCCTGAAGTATGAGATCTTTAAATATTGATTTGATATTAGTATACATCATCAAATGTTTCCATAAAGTTTCCTATATAAATATTAGCTCAAGATTATGCCACTACTTCTATTTAGTTTTTTTCAGAGTATAAGAGATGTGGCTATTACAGGAATTGAGTAGAAGCCAAGTTAAATATAAGCTATGGGAGACTGGAACAGAAAGTGAGAAAGGAAGAAAATGAGAAAGAAATCAACTCTTAGATGAATAAATTTAACTCCTATTTTTTATTCAAAATGTTTTGTTGAAAATAAAAAATTTCAAAAAAAAAAAGGAAAAATGGAACTATGTCATTTGCAGAAAAATGGATGAAACTAGAAACCGTTATGTTAAATGAAATTAGCCAAACTCAGAAGATCGTGTTTTCTCTCATATGGAAGCAAGAGAGGGAAAAAAGAAAAAAAAGGTGGTGGGTGGGGATCCCATGAAAATCAAAGGTACATTAGTAGAGAAAAGGGACAAGGGGGTGGGAGTTGAGAAGGGAGGATGAAGTGCTGGGGAGTGATATTGGCCAAATTATAATGTGTGTATGTACAAATATGTAACAACAAATCCCATCATTATGTACAACTATAATGCACTAATAAAAATAAGTAGAAAGAGAAGAAAATGTTTTGTAGATTTAGGTTTTTTTTTTTATTTTTATTTTTTATATTTATTTTTCAGTTTTCGGTGTACACAACATCTTTGGTTTTTTTGTATGTGGTGCTGAGGATCGAACCCAGGCCGCATGCATGCCAGGCGAGCCCACTACCGCTTGAGCCACATCCCCAGCCCTAGATTTAGTTTTTATATCAACAAAATGATCCTCTGTAATTTCACTGTTGATAAATTGCATTTGAATGCTTACTAATGGAAGTAATATGTCTATATACTAAATCTAAATGCAAATACTAAATGCAATCATTCAATAATTGACTTGATTATAATTGTTATTGACTTGATTCTAATTGTTCTTTTTCTCTGTATACCTAGGGAAATATTTTAAATTTCAGAAATTGTGACAGAGAGCTATATTTTTTTAAATACAAGGTTTATACAATGTTTCCCTATATATAGAGAAAAAATAATATAATGTTTTAGATGACAGGCTTAGGTTAGCTTCAATCTTTCAATCAGCAAGAATTTACTATTTACTCTGTGCCAGGCCTTTTTAAGTTCAGATATAATATGTTCTCTTTCTACTTTCATATGTTCTCTTTCTACTTTCATGGAGCTTATGGTGTAGTGTTAAGGTTAATTAAGAATAGAATCAGTATAATACTGCTTTACTTCTGTAAAATCAAAGAACAAATTTTCATAACTTTCTAGAAGATACCAGCTTCTCTACTTGTTCTCTTGGTCCATTGTAAATTATTTCTAGTTAGATTTGAAGAGCTGAGGTGGGCTCAGAGACATGGCAAAATCTCAGGCAGAACCGGGATGTGCTGTCACAGGTTTCACCTATTAAGCTATAGAAGAACACTCTAAGGGGCTGGGGCTGGGGTTCAGTGGCAGAGCACTTGCCTGGCATGTGTAAGGCACTGAGTTCGATCCTCAGCACTGCATATTAAAAAAACAATAAAAAGGTACATCAACAACTTAAAAATTTTTTTTAAAAAAGAACACTCTTAAGACATGAAAATTTTAGAACCACATTAGTTTTTTTATTGATCTTTGTTTTTGTTTTAGACAAGCTGACTTTTTTGGTGTTTATGCCAATTTGTCAGATATACCTTTCTATATTGCCTCCTTTTGCTGCCCTAGAAAGGAAGAGAAAAAACAAATTTGTGTTAGAATTAGAAGCAGCAGCATGTTTATTG